GAGGGTTGAGGGACAATGCAGGAGGGGAAAACCCTCTATGAGATGGATTGATTCGGTGACTGGGGTAATCGGGATGGGTGTGTCAGAGGCGGTGCAGTTGGCGCAGGATAGAGCAGGATTTAGGGCTGTTGTGCATAGGGTCGCTATGAGTCGGAAACGACTCGACGGCACATAAGAACAACAACAAGATACAAGTAATAATAATGATAGAATTATGAAAACCTGTACTCCCAACAACTTTAAAAATCTACAGGAAACAGACAAATTCTCACACCTTCACACACTACCCAAATTGGCACAGACTGAATTAAAACACTTGAACGGACCATCACCGAAGAAGAAATTAAACACATCATTTAAAAACAACAACAACAAAAAAAAAAAAACCGCAAAAACTCACAAGGAAAAAAATGTCCCAGGCCAGATGGCTTCTCCAGAAAGTTCGACCAAATATTCAGACAAGAAATATCAGCATTTCTGCTTTAAGTATTTTACAGTACACGAAAGGAAAGAACACTCCCAGATTCACTCTATGAAGCAAGCATAACCCAACACCAAATTAGGCAAAGATATTAAAAAAACAGCCCAACAAAACCCAACCCAATTCCACAGAGCAGAAACAAAAATCCTTCATAAAATCCTAGCCAACAATCCTACAGTCTATCAAAAGAATAATTCATTGTGACCCAGGGGAATTCCTAATAAGGCTGGTTCAACATAACAAAATAAATCAATGTAATCTATCATATCCATAAAACAGAAGACAAGAACTGCATGATTATCTCACTTGATGGAGAAATAGCTTTTGGCAAAATGCAACACCGCTTCCTGATTAAAACGCTGAACAAAATAGTAATAGAGTGTCCCTACAGGAACAATATAGATAACCCAATTACAAAGTAGGCAAAAGACACGAAAAGACCCTTTACCAACGAGGGCATTAACATGGCCAGCAAACACATGAGGAAAAGTTCAAAATCACTAGCAACAGTTAGATTCAAATCAAACCAGTAATGAGACACAATCTCACCCCAGCTGCAATAGCAAAGTTTAACAATACAGCAAACAAGAAATGTTGGCAAGGATGTGGAGAGATTGGGACTCTCATGCACTGCTGGTGAGATTGTAAGATGGTGTAACCATTCTGAAAGGCAGCTTGACATTTTCTCAAAAAAAAAAAAACAGAGGGAAATAGCTGTCTTTCCACCCAGCAGCTTCTGAACAGGAGATGCAAGTATACTTGCATATTAGAAGGTAGTCAGAATTGAGAGCTGCATTGCTGAGAAATTGGTCCTTTTCTGAGTCTTTGTCATAGCTGCCTCCATATTCAGACTTGGGAGAAAGGAGAGGTACATGACCGGTAGCACCTACTGGGACTTGGGGCTACGTTCTTGGGACATCATCACTTTCCTGGGTCTTTCCCTTGAGCAGTTTATCTCGACCGCACTCAGGATTTTGCCTACCCCTGTGGAAACCTTCCTCACAATCAAACTAGAGGCTAGGACAGACAAGCTGGGCAAAGGGAAGGACTCCAGATCCCTGCTCCTGAAAGGACAACCAGATGAGAAGCTAGCTACAGGAAACAGAGAACAGACAAATAAGCAAGAAAAACTATCATTTGAAAATTCACTTGGCAGGCAATACTTTTAAATCTGCAAATTCTCAAAAGCATCATAAAGATAAGGAGGTGACAACAACCTACACAGATACAATAGAAGCTGCCTCATCCATCCCAAGACCTTCACAAATATTAAGAAAGCAGCAGGCAGCTTCACACATTATGAAAAAAACAAAACAAGTCTCTCGTAAAAAAAAAAAAAAAAAAAAAAAAACAAAAATCAAAAACAAAAAAAAAACCAGATCAGATTGCAAGCCCATTGAATACTTCAGACACAAGGAGGCAGAAGAAATATGTGCATGTGGAGTTATATGAACAGCTACTGAAGAAGGTACAAATTATGGAAGAAAGAATTGAAACCACAAGTGAAGCAAATCCCCCAGAGACAGAGAACCAGAAGAAATACATTGATGTAAAGTTACATGAACAGCAAATTATGAAAGTATGAAAGAAAGATTGGAAACCATAAATAGTTACAAGAATTTAAAAAAATCAGCACACGATGAAGGACAACTGACACAGTACTGGAAATAACAGGAAAGCAGGTAAATGCAGTCCAGATTATCAAGACAGAAATGGCAGATGCTGCAGGGACAAAAAAAAAAATCAGAATAGAAGAGTCAGACAAGAACCTCAACGGGAACTTACCAGAATACAAAACAGAAGACAGAAGGAAAGTGAAGAAATTAGTGTCATGTGGGATAACATTAAACACAACAACATATATGTGATTCCAGAAGGGAAACCAAAAAGCATGGAGGAAATTGTGGAAAAAGTACTAGAAAAAAACTTTCCTCATGGAAAATGAGGAAATCCACATTTAAGAAGAACAGCAAACAAGCAGATTAGACCTCAAAAGAAAACCAACAAGACATAGCTTCACCGTTTCAGGGTAAGTAAGGGTTATGGCTGAGAAAGTGATTAATTGAATTGTTTAAGTCTTTTATTGATTCTTTTCAAACAATTTAACTTCTAACTTAAAAATATTCTAACCACATTCTTTTCCTAAATGAATGTGAATGTGTATACTTTAGTTTTTTAAAATTTTGTTGTTGTTAGGTGCTATCAAGTCGAGCACAACTCAGAGCGATCCTATGAACAGAAGATCTGAACCCTGTTCTGTCCTGTGCCAACCTGACACTTTCTGACACACAGGAGCCCATTGCAGCAGTCACAGTGTCAATCCACCTGGCTGAGGTCTTCCTCTCCCTTGCTGACCCTCCACCCTTTTCAACATCATGCCCTTCAAGGAATAGCACCTCCTAGCAACATGTAAAATGTCATCATTTTTATGTTATAGGACATAATTCTCTTGGTTTAGGTTGTTCACCAACTTTCAAAACATACTGTTAAAATTTACCTTTTCCAGTCTTATTTCTTCAGCTGTGGTCTATGTGTTCCATATGTGCTATGTATTTGTAAGGGTTGCTGATGTTTCGGGTGGTAAATATTGGTCATTAAAAGGTGCTAGATTAATATGCCTACTGTATTATAGCTAAATAAAAATAAAAATTTAACTGAAGATACTTGATATATTTCTTACAGGTTCAGAGTTCTATCCGTACAGAATGGAACCCCCTGGACATTTGTTTTGGTACTAAACTGCCTTATCAGGTATTCACTGTGGAGTGCTCGACCGGTGGAAACAAAGAGCCAATGGCTGATAGCTGCATTTATGAGTGTGTTCGGAACAAGATCCAGTGCGTGTCTGTCACCAGAATACCACTACAATCGAAGGCCATCAGCTGCTGTTGGAATATTACTGAAGACCAACTGATTGTGGGCTGTGAAGATTCTTCAGTAATTCTATATGATACTCACCGGAGAGTGACACTTTTAGTCCAGGCTGAACTTCTGCCTTCATTCATAAGCTGCCATCCAGGCGGTGCCATATTGATAGTTGGCAGCAGCCAAGGGGAGCTGCAGATTTTTGATATGGCTCTGTCCCCTCTTAGCATCCAGCTCCTGGCTGAAGACCGCTCGCCCACGGCGACACTGCCATTCACTACATGCTTTAACGTTTCCAGTAGCCTTGTTCAGATGCAGTGGATAGCTCCTCAAGTGTTTTCTCAGAAGCCTGAAAGTGGGGACATTTATAATCTCCTGTTCCTTAGATTTGACCGTGGACCTTTGGGTGTACTTTTCTTTAAATTTGGTAAGTCCAAGAAGTTACTTAAAGCATTTATGGTACTGACAATATAATGAAGGTAGTAGAACTATTCTTGAAGTGCAGGTTTTCTGTTTTCGTGCTTATTACCAAAAATAGGCTTGCCTTTAAAATATTTTATATGTTTTCCTGAGCAAGAATTTGTGGCTGACTCTTTAAATGTTGAAGGAACATTAGGTTTCAGAAGTCTGAGGTTGCATTAATTTGCCCATTGCCAGAAAAAAAGCCTGAACTTACAAACTTGATACTTCCCAAACAATTCTGGCGAACAAAGAAACAAAAACATAAGTATGTCAATATTTTTAAAGGGTTTATTGTCTCCATTAAAAAATTATGTGTTATAGGAATATTTTTCCTATAAGAATTGTTTTAGAATATAGGTATACATTAATGTAATGTATAGAGCTCTGGTGGCCTAGTGGTAAGGAGCTGTACTGTCAACCTGAAAGCACCGGGTTCAAATCCACTAGCTGCTCTGTGGGAGAAAGATGGACAGTCTCTTCCCAGATGATTTATTGCCTCTGAAAACTCTCTAGAGGGCCCGCTAGGGATCACTTCCAACTCAACCGTGCACAACAACCTACATTTATTACTTCTCCATTTGAAATTGTACAAAGCAAATATTTTAAAAGAAGGAAAAATAGGTGTTTAGTTAGAATTTATTATGCAGTTCTTTGCTTTTCTTTCTCTTTTAGATAAAAGTACTCAAAAGTATTTATCAGCATCTCTGAAAAGTAAACTTTAATGTAGATTTTTTCAGCCAGGATACATTCAAATATAATTTTAGTAGTAGTAGTATTTATTTGTCTTCTGTAGGCTTATATGTAATATATTTTAGGTACTTATGTGTAATTTAACATTCTTGAAAGGGCCACGTAAGTTTAAGAAAACAATTCTCATTTAATGCAGATGATAACTACTTGTAAACAGTTAACTTTGAAAACTAAATATACTGTATATTGTATATTACAGGATTTGACTCTGAGATAGAATTTTATTAAATGAAATTATCGTGTATATTAAATGCCTACCAATTTACTTTTTTAAAGAAATTTAACTACTTGACTGTAAAGTTGAATAGATTTTT